AATCTGACCTCAAACACGGACAACCATTTCTGCACTTTTTGCACATTTCAAAGTGTGATTTTAAACTGTACATTTTAAGCTTAATATATTCTCAATATATATGTCTATTATGATGAGATTATGATCTGATCTGATCTGATGATGTTGTCTCTTTTCTCTCACTTTGTCCTATCCTCTCTACCTTCCTAACTCTGGTGGGACATATATGGACAAAAGGTCAAAAAGTGACTGATGTCTAAAAAAAACCTAAGGAGGGTCAGAGTGTCCTTATTAAAATAGGATAACTCTACCTGATGGTCTATGTTTATGTGGGAGTACAAACAAGTGTAGTAAAGAGCCTCTGTGTCTGGATCTTTGTGTGTATGTGCGTGTGTGTGATTGAGAGCATGTTGCTTTTCCCGTCTCCCCTCTCTCTAACCCTGAGTAGGTGTGTATGCGGTTGCCACTGTGTATGTCTGGGCTTGTATGCCACGGTCGGTTGTCGTGAAAGCGTCGCCGCAGCAACAGAAAATCGCCACAGTAACTCGCCGCCCACAGCCTCTTAGCAGAGAACAGTTGCTGACACAGAGTAACCTACTGTCGAGAGTGTGCGTGTGTACGTGCACTGTATGTGTGTTTGTGTCGGTAGACGCGTTAGTTGTATTTTGATACTGTGTGTGTGTGTGTGTGTGTGTGTGTGTGTTCTTGTGTGGGTGTCTGCAAGTCAAAGAGAGGAGGACTTGGTCATCAACTTCTGGCAAGAGAAAGGGTGAAAGACGAGCAAGTGAGACAAGAAGCAGAGAGATAGATCGAAAGAGATGTGAATGTGGAAAGGGAGTGAGAGACATGAATAAGAGAGAGGAGAGACAGTGAGTGGGAAGGAGAGGATGAGGGAAGAACAGGATGCAAGGTAGGAAGGATGATTGATACTGGAAACTTAAGGCCCCTGAAAACCTGGCAGTAGGTCTCTATAGCACTGTTATTCATGACTAAACAAGAAAACACATCCTTAGTTATTATTTAATAGAAAGATTAACACCGGTACAGTGGCCATTCATCAAATACTGGCAGCTATGGATACAGCTGTGACGCATGTTTGCTAAACAACAATGGCAGCTCCTATAGAGGTTAGTGTAGAGGCTGCTGACATCAGTTATATCAGAACTGGAGAGTATTTCCTAATTGAAAGAAGAGCAAAGAACGGCACTGAAGGCTTTTCTCTATGGAAATGTGTGTGTTTTCATTCTTCTCCCAACTGGCTTTGGTAAGAGTTTGACTACATTATATGTATATGTATATGTATATGTATATGCATATGTATATATAAGGCTGAGCTGTATTCAAATGGTTGCAATATGTAACCTCACCGCTAGATGCCACTAACTCTTACACACTGGCCCTTTAACACAACAATGTTGTTTAGGGCGGAAAACGAAAAACGATGATCTAAAAGAGACTGAAATGCTCTGTAGAGATGAGGAGGACTGAAAGGTTTAGAGAAAGTTGAGAAAGAAATCTTTCACATTACACATTTGATCCATCATCATTATAGAAAATATTGATTAGTGCAGCTTCAAAGGCTGAATAAGACTTAGGTGTTAAAGCACCATACTGGGTGGTTTTGCATGTTTTAGCCCATTAACTCCAAAATGCATCCACTTTACATTATTCCATAGGGTCTTAGATTGATTTCCTACCTTCAAGGAAGCCTTTGGATTCAAGTCATTTCACAAGGAAAATTAACTTTCACTGACTTGGAACTTGCTTGAGATATATAATCAATCACAGATTTATTCAAAGGTCCATTATTGTCAGCTGTGAGAGCCCACTGTGTGAACGCTTCCAAATCTCACCATCCTCTTCACAACATCCATGTTTGTTTTGTGGTAGTCTTTTGGCTTTAATTTGACAACAATGGCGCTTATAAATGTAATGCCTTTTGGCAGCCGAAACCAACATATTAAGTGCACCATCTAAGAGACAAGATGATCCTTCTTCTCAATTAACATTAAAGTCTTCAATGCCCCATTTAGACAGCTTTACTCATGATGAAGTTCTCCTTTGGGGATTGCTTTTAAATGATAATATAGTAATTTTTTAAGACTAAACCCATTATTTTAGTGAATATAATTGCCAGTGTTATTTTGTTTTACAAAGAGTTATGTCCCAAAGCAACTTTGATCAGTTAAAACAGTTTTAGAAAACATAAGTAATTTTAAATGCTATTGGCTTGTTATATGCAGTGTATCAGGCATGTGAATAACATAAATTGTAGAAATTATGGAAACTGCAATTACTTTATAATAAATTGGTTTAGCTATAACTACATATCAACCAGCTGAAACTATAAATAAATATTTATACAAGTCTGTATTGTTGGTTGATTTAAATTGGCTGTTTCTTTATGCCTCACATACACATATCCACACATTGAATACCCCTCCTACTGCTTCCTCACCTCAGCATCTGCTGTGATTAAATAAACCTGGAAAAAACGCTTTAAAATACAGTTGTGAGCTGATGCAAGAAACACACGCACAAATAAACTCATAGTATGAGTTGAAACAGGGATGTGGATTTTACACATTATGAATGTAATGTAGTCACGATGCAGGCCCTTTTACACCAACAGTGTCCAGAATATAGTCGACCTCTACTGCATTAACAATGGCAGTTACAATGGGCGAGGTGTTTCCCAGATTCACACGCATACACACACATACACACCACATACACACCGGATCTGGGGGAGAGTTCATGCTCTGGTATTTGACTGACATTTAATTTCAATCCGTTTCATGTGTGTGAAACACCTGCTCTAACATGGCTACACACACACACACACACACACACACACACACACAGTATGTAAAAGTACTTTATGCTCAAGCCAGTCAAATAGATGTAATTTGCAGAGGTAAAAGCAAACATGTAGGCACAGTATTAGTGTGTGATGATGGTGTGTGGTGTGTGATGATATGTGCGCGTCTGCAAATGTGTATGTGTTGGTTTTACCTGGACCTTTAGTGCTGGGAGGAAGAAGTGACAGTCCTATTACTAAAAATTAACCCTCTGGCCTACACAGACACCGCCCTCCTTCTCTCTCTCTCTCTCTCTCTCTCTCTCTCTCTCTCGCTCTCTTGACATTACTACATAAATGCCACTTTGGTTAGAGAGAGAAAAAGAACGGATAATCAAGGAGATATGACAAAACACAGGTGAATAATCAATTCCGGTAAATGCCAGTGTACATACTTAAATTATTTTTTAAAACTTTGCTCTGATTTTAAAGGAGGCTGTACAAAAACTGAGGATAAACAACAGCATATGCACTTTTTAGTAGCTGAAAACAGCAGAGGATCTAATTTGTGTCTAGTTTAATATAATCATTGAGATATAATGAGTGATACAGCTGTGTATCATCAGCACAACAATGATAATAGATTTCAGAAGAAAACAATATATGTTCTTGTGCACACATGATAGGATCGAGAAAAGAGCCCTGTGGCACACCACACATTAACAGGTCATATGAAGATACAAGAACATTCATGGACACAGAATCTCTAGGCTCTTTGTGTCCTGTTATCCAAGGAGCATGTTTAATCTGTAAGAGAACTATTTTTCAAACATGCCAGGAAATGTAAGGCTTATATTAGCAATACATAAGTAAGTAATTATAGCTTTATTTATATAGCACCTTTTTGAGACAGAGGTCCAAAGTGCTTTACAAACAACAAATATACATATGGGTGTAACCATACCCAATCAAACATACATAGGAAGCATGTAAATACAAACATAAGGGAGATAAAACAAGAGGAAAGGATAAATTAGAGAGATGACAGATGAGAAAACAAATACAAGATCGAGATCTATACAAAGGCTTGCCTGTAGAGTTGGATTTTGAGGAGCCACTTAAAACAGTCCACAGATTCAGTTACGTTTGTCGGAATTAGTCTTCCCCAAGTCACGTCAGATTTCCACGA